TACCACTTTTTCATTCTTGGTTCACTCTGAATGTTCTGTTCACTCTGCTTGGTTTTATGTTTTGTATTATAGTGTAGCGAAATAGTGTAACGGTCTTTTTCGAAAGTTGGTTACATACGTTATTTCCGAATCCGCTAGTGCCTATACATTTTCGCATTAATGATTCCCTAGGTGGACTAAAAAGCCAAGCCTTTTGTGTCTATTGCAACCTGTTTAGGAAATGATTCTAAGTTTTCCATTTCTTTGCAAATAACCAATAGATTTTTCTATTCCCAAGCAATACTGATTGGAATCAGAACTTGCTGGGATTGAGTTAAACACTCTATTCCTTGTTTATGGTCTGGGGAACGTGAGAATTTTTACTTTTGTTGTATTTACCTTCCTCTAAATGAATATACAACGAAACAGTTTTCGTGAAGTGAGAGGCGGTCAACCAAAGGGTTACCATCGAATGGAACACAATCAGAGAGGGTGTAATTCCAAGTACCTTAGTCGTGGTGGAAGGTGTGGTGGTCGGATTCAAACACGTGTCCTCTCGGGCGATATTTTGGTCCCCTTAACCACCACCACCACACCAACCACCACCACGACCACCACTACCACCACCACCGCCACCACCACCACCACAATCACCTCTTCCACATGTATTGAATCCCGAAATTACTCCTTCTACCGAACTGAGTGGTTCATTTTCCGATCATTTGACCTTTGTGCATACGGATCACGAAATTTGGAAAAAGTGGAATTTTCGGCTTATGCGGGTACGACACACACACGCACACATGCACACACCAAAACAAATGAGGGTATTACGCAAATCGAGCACTTATTGCTGTGTTACCCGATCGCATGTTCACCAGATCGATCTCGCTCACCTAACAAACGATCAGTTGAGTAGCTCACACCTCATTCGATAGCTCCACTATCTAGTGAACTTCGTAGCATGTGGTATTGCTGGTCTTGGTGGTAAAATCACAAACTGCGACCAATTTATCCCGTCTGGTAACCAAACCAAGTCACGAGTTTAAGAAACGGTTAGTGATACTTTTTCTCAAACGCCGACGTTCAAGAACACACACAAAGATATTGGATTAGTTGTCCGCAATTAGAAACTATGTCTTGTAGCACTACTTTTAAATTGACAGAAATAGAACATTGACCCGACAACATTGAAGTCTTTCGAATCTGCTTGAATCATAGTGCACGTGTGTGTGTGTGTTTGTGTGTGGATCGTCTTACAATACTAGGTTCAATCTAACATTCTCTAATGAACAAAGCACGATGAGCATATTTCGGCTGTTGTGGCTGTCCAAATAGAAACTATGATGCAATTTCTAATTCGCAATGCGTGACACATTTGAGTCGCAAACAAACTGGAGAGTGAGGAAGGGGATGCGATGTGCTAGATGTTGGTCACACATGACAGCGGGAAAAATAACTAGGTGAGTGAGAGCAGTGCTTCAGTTGGCCCCTTCACTGCCGTGTGGAAGACAGCGAGGACAGTGCACTTTCACCCACCCCCACACACACACCCGTTTGGTCAATGCAGGTTCCGTGTGTAAACATAACTGAAGGAAGAGATAAGCATAAGTGAGACTAGAGCGGGTGAACCCTCTTTATTGGATGTCCTCATCATTGTGAACACTCGTGGACGAGTAGCTGCAATTAAAGATTCCTCTCACGGCATGCGCCAAATAGTTTCTAATGAGATCAGTCAGTTTGTATCCGTCGAAAGGTTGTTCCAAGCTTGATACTCTAAGTTGTTATTTTTTCTTTGGAAAATCTGGGACGGGCTCGCATTTCTCCTAGGTTACATCTGATGAAACTTTCATGGCATCCGTTTTCCTGAGAATGGTCAGTGTAGAAAACGATGTTGCATCAAGTGGTGATATATATTAGACGATCATAGTAGAGATATGTAATGCGGTGATTTCAACTCAGTTTATAGCGATAACAGAGGCGAGGAAAGCGGACAAAATGAATATGGTAGTTAATGCTAGATTTGCGGTCGGGGTGACAGGACAATAGTCAAATGAAATGACGGAAAAGAGATGGGCTGATTAAATTTTGATAAAAATTGTGAGCAAAGGTGAGAGCGCGAGATGAAGTTACGTAAGATACATTAGAAACTATACGTCACGTATAGAATGTAATATAATCGAGAAGGGACAGGTAAGACAACATAATTACCTGTTAAAATTGTGATAAGTGACACTGGATAGTGGTGCGGGTTTGTGAGGTTGAAGAGTTGATCTCTGCTTTATGCACAGTCAATCCGGCCTTCAGACCAGGATAACCATAGTGTTTGATGTTACGAAATTCATCTGTTAACGTCAATTTGGAGCGTATCTTTGGTGCACGCGTGACAGTGCACTCGAAAATGTTTCTCGTTTGTTTGAACGGCATGAAACTGTTAATGTGAATGTACTGTTTGGTTCACGTTTCTTTTTGACGAAGTTCAGATGACTGATTTCAATCTTAATTAACTTTTTTTTGGTATCGATCAGTTATTCGAAGTATGCCAGCGTTCATTCTTTGACCCAATCATTTTGGGACAAGTTAAACAAAACTATCAAGTCAGACAGCAAAAATCGAAATAAAAGATGATTTAATCGGCTAAATAAAGTCAAGAATCGGGCAGGATATGCAAATGACTTTAGCATAGTAATTATGTCCCTGGGATCAACTTGTCATCTTCATGCCTGAAGATAGCGAATTCGGGAACAGCCTTTGTGATCAGGGAAACTGAAAACCCGGAGGAAATTTCGTGCGGTAACGAATGGTTAACAATAGGGCCGATATTACTACGTATATCATTAAAAATAGAAAAATCTATAGGATTTATTAAAACAGCTGAAAAAGTAGGGAATAACTCAACAGATTTGTCGAGAGATAGCAGAGGTGTGTTTGAAGGTACAACTTATCGGTAGTTGGTACGATACTTGAGTTTGCATTCAAGAATGAGTGCTTTGATGTGAAGAACTGAATGAGTTGAACACTGCCGTGGTGATAGGATTGTTTGATACAATAAGGTTAGTAATAACTGCAATACCTTGATCTGGGATAGGTCGATCAAAACGGTATTGATCAAAGCCATCAGATTTCACCATCTCCTCATCCATATTCGCATGCAGTTAGGTTCTCTGGAACGACATGATTCCAAGATGGGTATATTTACGAGGTCGAACGTGGTCACCGATATGAAATCAATTTTCGAGCAAGGAGCTGACAATGAAACCGAGGAGGCGCATCTAGGAGACATCTACTCTTTGTTGTTCAGTATATACATTTCTCCAACACCATCATGCTGGAAGCTCTCGTAATCAGTACGGATGTTTTATCAGCCGATCTCTTTAAAAGAATGGCCAATTCCAGAGAAGAGATAATGAATGTAAGAATATGTATATATCAATGATATTTCGTGATGGATATTGCTTTGGTATAGTAAAACACCACCTGTTGACTGCGTGAAATATTGCAAAACTATTTTAAGCAGCTGACAATAGGCGGAAAATTCTAATTTCAATGCGAACAAGCTAGTGTTTGTTATTTTATCTTCCGCTTTTTGCAGTTATTTACAAATTATTTTGAAATTTCGGTTAATGATTAAATTGGATTCTAGTTGCGCATTTTCATTCATTCAATGGTGACAGCTTATGGTTGTGATAATGCTTGCTGAAAGGACGAACTACGTTGGGGCGTCAGAGTTCATCTCTGGTAGTGGTACGCTAACTTTGGCGTCTGAAATCATCATCGTGTCACGGTCGAGTTTATCATCTAGGTGAACTCGAGGCCGGCAGCTGGAATTTTCGGAGCAGTTCTGAGCGTACAACATTCAGTAATGGGTTCAGCAGCTTAATTAGCACTGTTTCCGCCATTGCTAACTGGTGTTGTTTGACAAGCTTCCACCTAATCGGTGAAACTTTTTAAATAAGTTTGAAACAATTGTAGTCAAATGGTAGCCATGTATCGGCGAGATGTTCCACGACTGCGCATCTTGTTATTCTCCGGCAGTCAGTGACGAGTCTGGCCCCTACGTAACTCGCCACGCAGATGTAAGTAAATGAATAAATAACGACTGCTCAGTNACCTTGATAACAATGAACTGATGTTTTGATTATCAAATGACACTATTGCAGTTTGCAGAAGATTTTGAACATCTCAGCTAAGTTTATCGGTGCCGCCACACTGCTACCAACTAAGCGAATCGCCAATGTTTTCGCAAGGTCTGCATCATTTCGTCTTCATAAAAGCTGTGTCATTCGTGCTGAATGGCAAGCAAGGCTCTATCCTAATGTGATGTGAACGGGTTAGAGTGGACAGAGTTGAACCACAATGAACCAGCCACATGATGATTCCCAGTTGTACTGGTGAAAGCCGATCACATGTTGTGACTTGCTATTTTCATTACACCGTAACTCCGAAATAGGTGCGGTATGCTTTCTTCCACTGTTCCACGTTTGTCGGCTTCACTCATTAGTGATTTGCTTCGCCCATCTTCTCTACTGACGTGACTTTACAACTATTTCTGTCTGGAACAGTATTATCCTACATTTTGATGCATGGATTACTTCCCTATTTTACGTTTCTTCTTGAATGCCACACATGGGTTATTGGTTTGGCACCTTATAGGTTCAACAATCTAGTAGACAATGGTTTCCACTGGAACGAATGTTTCCCAACACGTTTTTCCTCCTTTGTTTATCTTTCTGTTAAAAAAGGGTGCTGATTTACCTTGATTATTTTTTCTCGGTCTAAATCCTGTCACGTTTGTTGCATGCAGTTGAACTCTGTCTTGCTCTTCCAAATTTACACGGTTGTATGCGTGCTTGCTCTCCCTCGGTCTGCCTCCATGGTTTGGCATATCGGTGAATGGCACCAAATCACAGCACACATATGCGTGTATTTGAGTGACAATTTAAATCTCAGTCACGGTAAGCTTTCTTTCCTGTTTTCGGGGTTGGAATAGCGTAATCCACCGGTTTAACTAGCATCCTTGCAAACAGATAGCCCATCATTGAATGCTTCTGATTTCTTCGAGCAGTCATTGATTCACCTATTGCTTTAATTTTTAGTGATTTCCAAGGAAAACTGCAAAAGAGGTGGTATTTACCACAGTTATTGGGTATATCTGAATTGACCGGTTTCGTTCAGTAAAACCTTATTCGACAACAAACCAAATTGACTTCGGAAGCCATTTCTCACTGACAGTTTCGATCACGCAATAAACGTTTAATAGGAAAAACGATCTGATCTGATTCGATTGGATTCTTTTATCTATCAAATACTCATCCCCCCATCCCCGGGGAAAACATAATATTTTGACACACTTTCCTGTACACCTCAAACGTTGGGCATATTCCATCCTCACATTGATCGGCTGACAAACATTCAACTAAATATATGATGAAATTTCAAAACGCCGTTTGCTTCAATCTTCGGCGAATCCCATATTCAAATAATTGATAAATATATGAATTAAACAACGGATTATGTGTAAAAATCACAGTACTGAGAAGTAGGGTACAGCAGGTTCAACACCGTGATGCATTAAACCGGACCATCGTTCAGTGTAAGTGAGGAATCCGAGTTCAAATTCGATTAAAGCACGTTAAAAGTAAACGGGTACACCGGGAAATATATGATGCACTGGTTTGGGATCAATCCAGCTACAAATATCTAACCAGAACGTGCTAGATCAAGCAACCCCATTAACGGAACAGTCAACAAACCTGCATGCGATTTCCCTGAGCTGATCTGGATTTGTGGGCTATAGAAACAATTGTTTAAAATTATCTCACTACCGCTATAGAGAGATACAGCACCCAGACAACAGGTCTTAAACCAACGGATTGGGTAGGCGAATGAGTAGTAGAATATCAACCAAGTTGGTGGGTGCATTACTATTGCAATAGTTGACTGACCACGGCATGTTACAATTTTTTCACATTTTAATATGCCGATGACATAGCAGTTGGTGGTGCACCTCACATGAACAACCCTTCAACGAACCCGCTCCAATCAGCCATAAGTTCCGTTTCGAAATGGTCCGATGATGTTAATCCTTCTTTAAACCCGAACAAATGCACTGAAATTTTGTATTGCATTAACCGTTGGCCATCAACATCATCATCTGTTCCCAATATCTTAATCAATAACTTAAAAGCTGGAAGGTGACAACACTTCAAATACCGTGGATGTTTCCTGTCTGCTGACCTCAAATTGTCCTATCATGTAGATCAAACATTTCTCAAAGTCAGAAGGTTGACCTTTTATATTTCACAAATTCGGCATCTGAGGGTACCATTGTACATCATTTCTAAATTTATTTTGTTGTGCGTTTTATGCCTTTGGACCTACTGCTCTCTCCTTATCTTTCCCGGTCTACTGTCCGGGGATTTTGTAATAATTAGACGCTCTCTGAAAAGCATCTCCAGATATGGAGCTGTATCTTATGAGGAGCTGGTTGATTCCATTGTCAACCGAAATTTTAAGGCATGTGATCGTCTGTGTGACTCTATCTTTCCCGATCCATCACATCCTTTACACTGAACCCTACCTCGCTTCATTTAAATTTCTATCACCCGCAATAAATTTGAACCTTTATATACTCGAATTACCGCTTTTCACAACTCCGTTGTACCTTAGGTTTCATGTTTGTTGGTTTCCAGGGGACGGATATCAAACGAAATTATACACAGTCTAACGTAAATTTTCACGCTGAAATTTTCTTCATTTTTTCACGCGTTCTCAGTGTCTTCCTCATTATCATCCAAGTAACTATTTATCATATCTTTAAATTCATTTTTAATAGCATGTACGGAAAATTGATAACATTCTATTCACCGAAAATTCTGTCCACATTCGCTGACTAATAGGCACTCTTGACTCCTGGTATGAATATTTCGGATGGCATAATACACAACACAATATATTAGAACTGTGCTTGTAGGACGCATGAGAAACAATGCAGCGGATAATGATAAAAATGAGCTGATTGTAGGGTAACGAGAGAGCAGATCGCAAACGTCACAAAGCATTTAGATAATGATAGCAATGCGTTTGAAAAGTAGGAACAATGAAGGACAATATCTGATGGGATTAATTAACATCCTCGAGTGTTGGAAAACAACCCCCCCTCCCCCAAACAGTTACATTATCTCCGTTAGATCACTGCTTTATGTCATGTTTAACTTGTAATCCATACTTTCTGCTTTCTGTTCCTCTGCGCAGGGATGATCGACAGTTTATCACTCCGTTCGCGCAGATATTATCCATTTTGAAGAAAGCGCACGGATTTTTGGCACAATATAAAACCGAGTAAGTCGCTATCGTTTTTCCGGTTTCGCGTAGCTTACTGTTTCACGTCTGATTGCAAGATGACATCTGACTTATTTCTGAGCAATGGACCAACCAAACGCGATGTTTCAATTCAGAATCCCGATTCACATAGGCCTGTGTTCGTTCGGAATTGAGACAACCGAGCAGAAATACAGTTATCTTGTTCTAATTGAAACGTCCAAATAATTGATTATCCTTTTGATAAACAGACTGTATTTCATCCTAATCAAATTAGATGAGTTTGACATTTCATAACCGAATGAGCTCGAAACCTCCTCTCCGTTCCTCCATCCCCCTCCGGCCCACCCGGCCGCTGTTGCTCCGAAACGTTGATGCACGCGGACGGCAAAATCACTACCATGTGCAAATGCGAATTGCACCTTTATTGGTATGTTCCTATGGCGCACTACACTAGTAATGGTATAGAAAACGTCAAACTAAATCCAAGAATCTAGTTTGTATTCTTTCATTGTATGCCCCCACAGTACTCACTAACAATTTCAGCACGATTCTTTCTCCATAGTGCCGTGAAGGTTCTGTTGATAAATGGTGGTAGTTAACTAGGAAAAGAACAGGAAAAAAATCACCGAGTGATGTGCCTCCCCCCCCCACCCCTCTAGCTCCGATCCCCGAAGTCACTGGGATACTGGTCACATTAACCCAAACGGAATCCGTTCACCGTCTCGAAGGTGACTACTTCAATCAACAATCACGATCGCTGTTTTGACAGTTTAGGTGGAAAACAGCTGTGTAACCGAATCATTACTTATGAATTATTTCAATCTATTATTTTCTCCGAGAGACCTAATTGTGCTCTCCTCAGGTCGGGGTCATTTACGATGCGCATATACCTTATGACCAATGCTACATTATTCATGAGGCGAGTACAAAAGCATGCATAAAAAGCTCATCACACTGCAATCTTTCGGATAGTTGAGCGTGCGGAGTTGCGATACTGGCCGGTTGTTGTGCTTTCCCAAAACACCGAATGTCTCACATCTCACAAACCTAGTCATACTCTGCCTCTCAGGTAAAAAGAAACCATTTGGTCCACAAAATGGTGTGGATAAAAAATTACAGTATGATATTCTCCGCCACAGAATATCTTTTATAAGCAAGTAATTCCGATCATACAGATACCGGTGCGAAGGTGTGGTGTTCTGTGCCTTTTAAATTTTAAGTAAACTCAAAGTTACTTGTGACACTACTTGTTGATACAGTTTTGTTTATAGTAATTATCGTTCACGCCTCATCTTCACTCTCAAAAACACTCAGAAAGGACTCATCTCATTCAGTAAACCATGGTATCGGGAAGCGTTACAGTTGATTGATACTATGAAGCTCATCAATGTGGTATGCTTATTGACCGAAAACTCGAATTGTTGTTACATAAGGCGTGTGTTTGTTATTTCTGTATCAACTAGTTTAAACTAAAGCACATCAGAATAACCTACCAATCTACTAGTTAATTTTGGTTTTTAATAACTCGTTGTGACAGTTTGTCCGATGAACCTGTCAGTTTAATCGGCTACTGAACAAACAAATATTGATGATATACTCTCATTGTTATTTTCCCATGTTGTTTTGATTGATGCATGTTTGCTTTTCTGTCAATCCGCATCTCTGGAACACATTCAAACATCGATTCGCGTGACGTGACCACAATCTTACTCACGCAACAGTGGCTCTGCTTCGTCTCCCGCATTCAGTTCAAGTAGCAAAACACCAATCAGTGGATCCCCGGAGGAGGGAGTTCATTCTCGTGAGTGATTTTCGCGTTTGAAGACTTGCATGATTGTTACCGAACCGGATTTCGGCATTTTTGTGGTTGGACAAACCGAAACCCAGTCGGTGGTCTTAAGTAGTAGAGTCACGGTTCAGTTATTTATTTACTTACAAATCTGAGGTGTTAACATAGTGTCGGACAGTCAGAAGTACATCAGGCAAAATGCCTGTTCAAATGATGTTACTTAGCGGAGTTCAGTATCATGTTCGAGTTGTGAAACATTCAGTAGTGTTGGTAGGATTCGAATCTGCGCATGGATGCATTTTACATGTTTGCACAACGCACCCTCTATGACTGATCTACGAGGTCAAACCGATAATACTGAACCCTTCACATTTGGATTGTCCATCCAACTTACAGAGGCATCTGGAATATTCCAGTTAGTTTGCGCCCTACAAAAGCGTAGGATATGTAGGTTCCAATCCCACCGAGGATACTGAACTTTTCACAATACAAAAATGATACATGAATCTGACAAACAACACGATTTAAACAATTAACGCTGCCTTAGCAGTTCATTCGGTGGATTCCCGCTGATCTTAAAGAAAATCTGTCCTGTTAGTCAGGTTACATGATAATTGGTGGACTACATATGCCCCTGTAAGTTGGATGGATAACCCGATTATGAAAGAATCAGCATGGCTGGTAGAGCGTGCATTGTGCACAAGCATTGGCGGCGTCGGTGAGTAGGTTCGAATTCAACCTAAATGTTTAGCTCTGTTCCACAAGTGTTATGGAATATTCCGCAACCCAATCGCCGAATCCAGTGCAGCGGAGATCTCAATTTTATACCCAAACTGAATGGTCTAAACCACAACGTATTGAGGCGGTTCGTATTAGCCGTAGTTTCATTTACGAGTGGGTGGGTAGTGTTACTTCCGTTAGTCAGTTCATACACCGCAAGAATGAGGCTCCCTGAACTGGAATACACAAAACACCTTATCATCCAGCAGCCTTGAAGATAGTTCACAAACCGGATCGCCGTTTTGATACTGCATTTACTAACCCTGTTTGCTGAGCTAGGCACCAAGGTCCCGTCAGTTTAATTCTCCACCTTAGATTGCAGCACGGTTCAGTAACCAATATCTGTTGTGTGGCTGTATTATCTATACAGTTACCTATCAGATTCAATGATCATTTGAGCAAATAACGTTAACCACTTGCAATTTTACAAGTAAACTACCCAAGTGGTATCCTTATCTTGATACATCCCCACCCACCCCAAAGTGTAAAGTTGAACCTGGTCAGAGATGTAAACCGAAAATCTGTGAGGTAATCGAAAAGCATACTTCTGGAAATAACTGTTTGGTATTTACCAATCACCACCGAGAAAATTTAACCAGGTTGAAATAATGACTTAGCTGTTCCTCGCATTTCAACTGACCCTTCATTTAAACTACAAACTCGTTATATAATTTATCAAACAATAACTTTCAAAAATAACTCAAAGGCAAATAAACAACTCTGGGTTGAAGTGAGTTCCAGTTATTTAACACCATGGCGATGGAAAAGAAGTAACCGTGTCCCGGTTTACACTATGGAATTATCACCTGTAGTTGATGTCCCTTGAGGTAAACATTTATGAACAACGTCACGTTAGGTGTGCAAAATGCCTTTTATTCCTTCCTCTCAAACGGTTGTAGGCAGGTCAGTGATTTAGCTAAATTGGGGCGAATGATGTCACCTAAACTGAGGACATATGTCTACTTTAATGAGAGCTTATGATACATCGTTTGGTAGCAGTGTCTCATTCCCTTACTCTGTAGATGACGAAAAACGGTACATCACACCGATCAAGTCGGTATCACGTTGCGACGGTCGCGCTTTACAATACACCGAGTTAGGAGCCGCAGTAGGATAATTAATCACCTTGCATTGCAGTATGATGCTGAAATAGGGAAGCACATCACTACCCCAACGTGGTCGGCTAGGGGGTTTGTTTGTTTTGAAATCATGGAAAGAATTTGCTCGGTTTGGTCTACAGAACATAACGTCGACGGTAATCTAGTTTGTGTAATGGCGACATTATTTTGTAGGAAGACAAACGTTTGGTCCTGGGTTTCGTATAAGGCTCAAGCACAGTTGTAGTGGTCCACTGTTTCTGTTCTATTATCATGATTGTGAGACACCCATAACCATTTCCAGTGTTCCCAAAATGTTCATTACCAGCGGATCGTCTCCAAGGTAGTTTAGAGAACGCAGAAGAAGACTCCTTAACGTAGTTCAGACCTGATGGCATCCAACCAAACTTTCAATGAACCCGCACTCATTATATTCCATTTGCTGTGCGTGGGTCAGTCTATTACGGGATTTCTCTGCATGAAATTCACTCATGCATTCTCTGTATCCCGTACATAGGCAGGATGATCCTCGGTTGGTGTATGAGCTCGCCCAATGATCTCAGTCCAAGGTCCTTTTGCTTTCGAGAATAAAACGAGGGACAGAAAAACGTTTTTCACATCCGATTCGCACCCTCAGAGTAACCTAGGTTCTGATATGTATGTGATTGTATGTCCTGCACAAGCTTAAAGAATTACATTTCAGTTAAAAATGTACACTAGTCATATCACCGTTTCATACAACAAAACTAGTCAACAGGGAATTGAGCAGAACAGAAATGTTTTCTTATCCCCATGGTGACAAGGGAGCAGTTGCACTTTGAACCTAATGCATAAAAAGCATACGGAGAGGTAACACTCTGCGTTTAAGCTGATTGACAGCTCTGTTGGGTATCTGTGTAGTCGAGAAGCGGTTGGAACTTGTTTATTGATTCGGTCCCTCGAACAGTACTGAAATTTGTATTTGTATAACATGCGCAGGCCTATATACTTGCATTTCGGTTGAAATGTACTCTGGTCCTCACACCGAATTGAAAATATACCGTTTCGTATAGCACGTAATATGAAGAATCTCGCCGAAGTTTGTTTTGTATACAAGCATTCTGATATCATTCACTTGCGACCTGTTCCCTTTTGGTTAAGATTCGGGCAAGGTGGGGTACAGGGGAACTCTAGTGCAGCGATTCTCAAATTCTCTCTCTCTGTCTGTCTTTGTGGCTGGTCATAGCTTCTCATACCTATGTGTATTATCCGTTATGCACTTTAGAATCATGATGACCACATTGTGTACAGGAAGAAGATATTTTGACTGTGAATAATAGTTTATCCTATTTTGCTGAAGTTCGGCTACGGGA